CCTGGTACTATGATACTAATAACCAGCCTGGTAAGAAACACGCATATTCCAAATAATGTAATGGCTTTGCAAACAATCATGTGTGTTTGCTTTATGTTTACACTGTCTAAATGACACCATATATAGGTACATGTACAAACCATGCGAAGGAATGATTGGCTTCGACAAAGATGAATGTATGTTTTATTTTTAATACTCTCCTTACTAAAGAGATCCGCTTAAACTTGCAAAGTTTCAGTCATATTCTAAGTGCTAGTTTGAACCAAAGTTAATATTCAAATACGTGTCAATTTGTCTTTCAAATTCACAAATATGACACCGGGTACCGCCAAAAATGTACAAGGAATACATATCACGTGTCTAAATTGATATCTGTAGACTTTCTTGTCCATAAAAGTGCACTGCATAGATAAAACAGAGTGTTCCTTTAAGTAAGGTTTAAAAGAATAATCAGTGTAATGGTAAAATGGAAAATGAACATATTATTAGTAGTACATCTATCAGGAAGAGTTATACAAGTATCGGCCATTTGTTGAGACCTTTGATTAAGTCACAGCCTCCTTGTCATCTTTGTATGGTGACGTCCAAATCAATTTTACATCCATGTTGTATATTTTAACTGCAATGAAGACATGACCTATATTATACTGATAAGTCCCATATCGTACTGGTAAAAGTGTAATATATTGCTATATGACCTCCACAACTGTAAGGTGTTATGTGGGAGAGGGACGTATTGTAAAACTATGTATATTAAACAACGAAAACATAGGACAGTTTCTGTTCACAATCAGATTATCAAAATCTATACTACATTTACCTTTGTTCCAAATGAGGGCTGTCACCTGCTGAACAGGGTAGCCATCCTCTGCCAGGTCCACAGCGGGCCTAAGAATCTCTGCTAGGCTTAACTAAAACAAACATTACGTTTTCCTCAAAAAAAAACGATCTATTGTACAAATAGTCAAATGTACTGGTCATTTAATGTAATTCTACCATGAAAAAATAACAGAAAACGAAGTGTTCAAAAAAATCAATAGAACCAAAAATATGATAGAAAGGAAGAATTTACATGGAAATCATTGAAAATGTACGAGAAGAATAAAACCAGGTGTTCCTGAAGGATACAGAGTGTTCTGCTTCATCTACGACACCCGCCATGTATATCTAGGTCAAATCAAATCAAATCAAGTAAAGTCACCGAAAAACTCGTGTGTGACTATCAAGAAAGGTAAAGTCCACGATCGGACAGTCGGAATCGCCCAACTTATCAAGCAGCTTATTAGTAAACCATCTGTGTTGGTCATCATGTAATTAAAGATCGAGGAAGGCGGCTGACGTAGAAGAGACTGCAGTGTCCTGTATTTAAAGCTCTATCCTTTTCAACATATATTTCATTTTGGTTTTTGTAGTACATTTTTCAAAATTATGCTCCAGAATAATTTGCAACCATATATTTATATCGCCGTTCGCTTTTTTTTTTTGAAAATAAAATTTTCATAAGAAGAGAATGAACGTTTTATATCAGCTATAGAAGGGTCGAAAAGTCAAAAACAATTTTGAGAAGTTCTTCGAAATTGATCAAAAGACATCTGCAAATAAATTACAACTAAATGGCAGAACAATGGCTATAACCGTTATTAGAAGCAGACGTGGTTTTCTTACTTTTCCACTACCGAATCGCTCGACAGTGTCAACCCATGCTGCGGCTGCTCCTGGAATCGTGACGGCATGACCGTGCTGCACGGGGAAAGGACAGGTAGAGTTGAAACCCTGTTTATTTAGGAGATCAAGGGTCAGACCAGATGGAGCTCTGCCACTGAAACAAGGTGTGAACATTGATATAGCGCCCTATTTAGCCAGAATAAGTCACTCTAACACGCTTTACAATCAATTCAATTAGCATACACATTAGTCAATATTTAGGAATTTGCAGGAGCTGCTTTATCATGTACTAGCTACTAGTCCTATGCCACCTGGCTAATATCTCCCTATGTGTTTATGCCTGCCCATGGGCTGGAGATGTCATATGTTCTGTTTGTAGTGGGACCGTGCTTCGAACGGTATCATGTATAGTATATTTATTTTCATATTACTGGTTGTATATTATCTCTTTTAGAGTGTACCATAGTGCTGTTTGTATAGTATCTCTTTAAGAGTGTAACATATTACTGGTTGTAAAGTATTTGTTTTAGAGTGTAACATAGTGCTGTTTGTATAGTATCTGTTTTAGAGTGTAACATATTACTGGTTTTGTAGTATCTGTTTTAGAGTGTAACATATTACTGCTTGTATATAGTATCTCTTTTAGAGTGTAACATATAACTGGTTGTATAGTTTCTGTTTTAGAGTGTAACATATTACTGCTTGTATATAGTATCTCTTTTAGAGTGTACCATATTACTGGTTGTATAGTATCTGTTTTAGAGTATAGCATAGTGCTGGTTGTATAGTATCTGTTTTAGAGTATAACATAGTGCTGGTTGTATAGTATCTGTTTTAGAGTGTAACATATTACTGCTTGTATATAGTATCTGTTTTAGAGTGTAACATTGTGCTATTTGTATAGTATCTGTTTTAGAGTGTAACATATTGCTGGTTTTATACATGTAGTATCTGATTTAGAGTGTAACATATTACAGGTTGTGTAGTATCTCTTTTAGAGTGTACCATAGTGCTGTTTGTATAGTATCTGTTTTAGAGTGTAACATAGTACTGGTTGTATAGTATCTGTTTTAGAGTATAACATAGTGCTGGTTGTATAGTATCTGTTTTAGAGTGTAACATAGTGCTGGTTGTATATTATCTGTTTTAGAGTGTAACATAGTGCTGGTTGTATAGTATTTGTTTTATAGTGTAACATATTACTGCTTGTATATAGTATCTGATTTAGAGTGTAACATATTACTGGTTGTATAGTATCTGTTTTAGAGTGTAACATATTACTGGTTGTATAGTGTCTGTTTTAGAGTGTAACATATTACTGGTTGTATAGTATCTGTTTTAGAGTGTAACATATCACTGGTTGTATAGTATCTGTTTTAGAGTGTAACATATTACTGTTTGTATATAGAATCTGTTTTAGAGTGTAACATATTACTGTTTGTATAGTATCTGTTTTAGAGTGTAACATTGTGCTGGTTGTATAGTATCTGTTTTAGAGTGTAACATAGTGCTGGTTGTGTAGTATCTGTTTTAGAGTGTAGCATATTGCTGGTTTTATACATGTAGTATCTGACTTAGAGTGTAACATATTACTGGTTGTATAGTATCTGTTTTAGAGTGTAACATAGTACTGGTTGTGTAGTATCTGTTTTAGATTGTAACATATTGCAGTGTGACTGTCTCTGCTTTGGTATACATTAACAGGCTTCACTGTCATACACTCAATAACCATTCTTCCAACGAACTAGGGTTATCATCACAGAACTTGCTGTAGTGCGGGACTAGTTACGTCGACAATGCATGAATATTTCAAGAAAACCTGATTTATATAACAAGGAATAATGTTTTTGTTTTGGTCATATGATGAGGTGATAACTTAGACTGAATATCTTGGCAATTTAATATAATTTACGTGTGCTCACCTCATAATCTGATCAAAAATAGCTATCCCTTAAATCACTGGCCTGTGTGTCTGTACTGACATATCACCTGTCCCTCTGCGTCAATATTGCTTTAACTTTGTCTTATCGGTCTACTGTTTATGTGATGAGTACATTGATAAAGTCATTTTCGTCTGTCTATTGTTGATATGACGTTTACAATGATCAATAGAATTTCCCCCTACCATGAGGATGTGACAGAGAAGTCTCCACCCCGAGAGTTGGAGATTTCTCTGTTATACCCTTAAGGTAGAGGATGATTATCTGTCTCCCATCCTTTTATTTCAGTCAAAACTCCACCAACAGAAGTGTAAACAAAAACATATGTGGAGTATGAATATCGTCATTCTCTTTTGATGACGTCAGTGACATTTACCGGTGACGCATTTTAATGATGTCGCAATTGAACACGTGCTAATCGGTACGAGGCTATCACCCTCTAAGGGGTGACAAACTGATCTTCCCAGGCTAAAACGGGAGACACCACCGTGAGGGATGGGAGAAAAAGTTGTTTTGACGGTATGGTATATTTGATTGAGTACGGTGATATACCTTATATCGCCTGTCTATAATACACTGATGATAACTAGAGTGAGTATTGTGATTATCAGAATTTTAAACTTCAAGCGTCATATCTCGGGGGCTGCTATTTCACCGTCTATCATTCCAGAAACACTACGCACTACGCTGTAAAAAGAGAATACGATGTAGTATTCCGTAGGTAGGTAAAGACAGGATGATCTTTTCCCGAGCAAGAACGGTACATTGTAATACACTTTAGAAGTGTGAGGGGAACAGATGCTGGCCATTCTATAAGATCAAGTGATTTTTTCTAATCCGTCTATATAGCAGTATATCTAACACATATGAACATTTAACAACTTGACGTCTGTTTGTTGGATAGAGGTCGCCTTGTTTATAATAAAATAGTAGAGTAGATTGCAGGGATACTACTACTGTACCTGCCATTGACAGCTTTAACCCCTTTGGTTTTGGCGTCGTAGAAAAGACAGAATGCGTCGCCACCAATACCCGTAGAGCATGGCTCAGTCACATTGAGGACTGCTGCCATGGCAACGGCTGCGTCGGCAGCATTTCCACCCGCCTTTAGAATATCTGAAGAAGAAAATGACGCATGTTAAAAGGTATTTATTGAGCATATTTTCAACATGATTTTGTTAAAGACAAGCATATCGAAATGTTTTCACTCGACTTTTTCAGATGTTTTTTTTTTTGTTTTTTTTTGTTTAGAATGAATGTGGAAGTAAACGAGAAGCCTTTATGCGAGTTACCAGAATATAAAAATTACCATGGTCCGTTCTAAGCCATATTGCTCTCGGGAGAGAACCACCTGAATCTTAGTTTTGAGGTACTAACACGAATATAAGAAATTTGCTTTTTTCTCTACATTGATACCTAGTACTTTTCCGTAATTTAAAAAAAATAAATGATATTTCATATTTAGTCACTAGTATATCTTTTTTATAATGAAACACTATCTGTTTCGAAGTAATTATTCTGTAGATTTCTTAGATATCAAACTCATATGTGGCTATATTGCATAATGTAAAAGAGCCCACTTGTTTGAGTCAGGTTCACTTCGTCACTTTAGCTGGCGGGGTACAGGAAACGGAACATTATATCAGTCAGTGTATGAAAATGACTGACAGCATTCAAAATATTTGTCTTCGCCGCATGTTTATTACTACACTTTCTGAAGGATGTAGACGATTATTCGCTAAAAATTACTATGAACAATATGTTGTACACGTTTATACAATGTAGGTGTGAAAGGCTATTTCTGTTGTCAAACTGTACCATTTCTCTGGATTTAATTTACTATTTTTAATTGGGCTAAATAAAAATTAAGTAGGGTAACAAAATCGCTTGAATTTCTTTAAACTATATCAATTTTGGTTTACAATAGATAGATTATTTTGTACTTAAAAATAAAAATGCTGCAACACAAATAGAAACATATTCCATTTTTGGTAGCATTTATTTCGAGCCATAGTTCACGTAACTCGCAGAGACCGCTTCGCCTAACAGCATTTGTTTATCGCTTGATACACATCTGTACCAGGGGCGGATCCAGGATTTCCTAAAAGGGGGGGCCGAGAAATTTTTCTTAATAGTCAACGGCGTGCTGCGAAAGGCAGCAGCCCGAGCGCGTAGCGGGAGGAGGGGGAGGGTACAGACCCCCTCCCCGTAAGGGGGGTTTGGGGGATCTTCCCCCCAAAAAATGTGTTTTCTAGAACGTCTCAGAAGCGATTTCCCGTGTTCTGAGGATTGTTTTTATGTTTAATTAACAAGAAGAAAAAAAACATATTTTAAGTATGGCCTGAAGACTTTTTTTGTGTACTGGAAAGAAAATTTAAGTTTCGGTTCAAATTCTCTATCAACAGCGTGTTTTAGAAGTCAGATGGTATTATTATAGGGGCAACCTGGTGATGACAAATGTATGAATCCACAGGGGACTTGTTCATTATTACCTAATTCGTCAAAATATAAATCTAGTCTTCAGACATTGTACGTTTGTCGTACAAAAGAACAAATAACACCATAACATCGTTG